GACTACTGACATGTTAGGGTACTAAAGATACTTTGTTTTTCCATTTATATCCTATTTATTGGATTCTACTTTTAAGAAAATTAAGAAGTAAAATATCATAAATTCTTTCCAAAAGAAGTTTACTTAATTACCTAAAACAGGCAGGAACATTTTATGTTATATATACACTTTTCATGTTTTACTTATGTATTTTATCTTTTCCACAATTAAAAAAAAAAAAAGCTGGCATTTGTTGAGTACCAAAGACCTATATTTGAGGCTCGCAGCCTGCCTGATCCCAATGTCCCACATAGTCGAGAATGTGTTCACACAACTCAGTTTCCTCTGTCCTTTGATTTGAGCAATACACTCAGGTACATCCAAATGGACCCAAAAAAGAGTGGTGCTATCAGGGAAAAGCACCCCTGAATTCTACCTCAGGCCAAGTCTGTATCAATGCAAATTTGAGATAGATCACTGAGCAAATTCTTTTTAGAAGCCTTGCTATCTTGCCTTAGCCCAAGTATTGTTTTAATGTTCAACACAGGCAAAACTGATGGGCTGCAGTCTGAGGGGGTGACAAGAGATACTGTTTAGTTGGAAAGAAGCTTACTGTCAAACCTGGATTTTAAAAACAGAGGGGATATCAATTATAATATAAAGTGGTTCTCCTCAGGAAAAAAGACAGAAGCTTCACATCTGCTGGTTATCTGTTTAAAAAATGGCTCAGCTTTACTGACCCCAGTTCAGACAAGGCCCAGTTCAGCTAAGACTGTGAAAGAGCTTCCAACAAATGATAAAATTCAAGAGCAGACCCTACCTCCCAACCAAGTTAATGTCCCATAAAGAGAAACAGGCACAGAAATTGATAGTAGCCTGTTCCACAGGGAGCCTAAACTCAAAAGGCCATTATCAGCTATGGCATCATCAGTGGGAATAAACACAGGGTATTTGGCAATCAATCAAAGTAGGCCATCCAAATCATGCATTCCTTTGTCTGGTTCCAGATACAGGGTGGCCTCTTCAAAAGTACTAAGCATCTGTTTCCTCCATTATATGAGTGTCCAAAATAGTCAGACAGGCTGTTTAAGCATACAGCCTGGCTTCTAAGAGGCACTTTATATAAACTGGGCTACGACTGCCGGTGTAAATCTCAAAAAGTTGATGAAAATACACTAATAATCTAAGGATATTCTGGGTAATGGGTAATTTTGTTTTTTAATCAATTTCTCAGATCAATTTTCCAATATGATAGAGACATATGATTTTTAAAAGATACTTTTAAAGAAAGATTTGAAGAGGATTACTATAACTGAAATATTTCTTGCATACATTAATAATTGTCTATAGAGCCTCACTGTATATAATCTATATCACTGAATGTAAAGAGTTTTGAATTTTAACTATTGTTTCCCCATGAAAGCCCCTCTTAGTCATTTAGATTTCCATTAATCTTTCTCTAGGTACTAAAGCCAGAGTCTTCCAGCTGGGTATCACATCCTCAAGTCACAGAAATGGCAATTTTATAGCAAAAGAAAATAACATCTCATTGTCAGCACCCACCTTGCTCTTGCTGAAGACAGCCCATCTCTTCAGGAACTGTCTGTAGTGATTCTCAGATAAGACCCTTTACCTGCATCCTAACTGTTGACACAGAAATAGGCAGAAAATTCCCTTTCTCCCTAAGTAGCTGACATAGTGCACTGGAATTTGTCACTTTAATATACACAGATACTAAATCTGTCAATAAAATAAAATCTCCAGGTAAGAAAGGATTCTCTCTAGCTGACTGCTATATCCCCAGCACTTCCCACAGTAGCTTGCAAACAGGAGATTGTATTTTTAATGAAAATAGATGAATTTATTTTGTTTTGTTTTGTTTTCATGCCCTGCAGCACAACAATGAGACAGTTAAATGTGTTTCCTGACCAGGGGAATCTCCATCCTTGGAAAAGTTTATAAACACATAACTTTATTAAGAATAAAAATGTATTTCTGCATTGGGGGAGAGACTGAACCAAATGACCTCTTTAGTTCCTTGCAACTCCAGCACCACACCATAAGAGAAACTGTATCAGCTACAGAAAGTCTTTGGATTGGCAACAGAAAACCTGACTCATAGGTAGAGAAGTTACCACAATGTTTAAAATAAAGATAATAGCTGCTCTGGGACAGGGATACAAAAATACTAACTCATCCAAGATGTGGATGCTTTCCTAGGAGAGAGAGAAATCAGTTAAAAGCTGGAAAACGGCACATGTGTTTCAGGATCTTCTGGGAGCCAAGTCCCAAAACCATTAATAGGGAAAAAATTGAGAAGCTAGGGGGTCAAGATTAAAATAGAAATGAGTCAACAGTATCACACTAAACTGAAGCTTTTGTTTTCTAGTCAACAAATTTCCACTTAAGAAACATCTGAATTTAGCCTTGACTTTAACTGAAGATTAAAACAGGATAAAATGGATAATCTTGGATTTGATATTTAAGAATTCTTGACCATTAAAAAAATCATTTATCTACGGTGTCAAATTCAAGAATATCTAAAATTGAAGGTAAGTTGTTCTTAATGGATGGAAGGGAGAGACAGCTTTCAGGAAAAGGAGATAAATTTATATTTTCCTAAAGAAGTCTTAAAACAATCTAATTCTAAAGGTGTAACTAGGGAAACTTCATACATGAATGAGCTTTGGAGGGATTTGTTTACTCTCCTCCATCCCCCCAACACACCCTTCCTTTGTTTTGTTCACATTATAGGAGATTAAGAGACCAGCAGAGGCAGAGAATTCTACCAGGAGAGATGCAATGCCTTATTGCTGGGTTTGCAGAATCTGTCCCCTTGAACTGGGGTTGTTACCAAGACATTGCAGAGAGAGCACTTCTTAAGACTGTAAACAAATGAACAAAGTGAAACAATTCAACATTTCCTTGGATCTGTATGAAGAGAATGTTAAACTTTGTAGTCAACTCCTGATCACTCGTACCTCAAATCATTCCAAAAAATCTTATTTTTAATAGCCATAATTGATGGCTATTCTAGTGACATCAGTGAAAGTGCAGAGAAAAGTCACCTCCTCTGTATACATACACTTTTCAAAATTTCTATTATTTGAATGAGAGAGGTCTTACACAAGAATTCTGTGGGATTAACTACACATCTGGTTAACAGACCTGGTGTTGGATTTGATTATGGCCACACAACTAAACCTTAAATCCACATGTTGTTCCTATTTAACTGACATATATGAACTAACTAATTTATAGAAAATGTGCAGCAAATTATTTCTTCCACCCCCATGCCTTAAGAATGCACCAGCAATAGGGTGAAAAAGACAACCCCCACAGAACAATTGCACTCCTAGAAGCTCTCCAATGATGTAAAGCAGATATTCTTGTTTTAGTTATCTGAATTTGTGCCCCTGAAATAAGTATAGGGGGGTGGGGAAGGGAAGGAATAATCGAACCCGATAAACTTGACCTCTTGGGACCTCAATTTCCTCCCCAGAAAACTAATGGGTAAGTCCAGACATGATGCCAGATTTTCTTAGTAACAACCATCTCTGACCACTAATTATGAACAGCATAATTCGTATGCAAGAGTCAACCCATATTCTTAAAAGTATGTCATTATTTATTAGAGCTTTAAATGCCTAAAAGACCCACAAGTTACACTTTAATATAACCACAGCACATTTTCTGTGGACGGCTTTGGAAAACACTGGCAGCCGAACAACCAAGCCCAGCCAGGAAGAGCAGAAGGGACCCCGGAGAACTTCACCGGATGGGGCCGGGTGGGGCGGGTGGGACGCAAAGGGCGCCCGGGAGGCACCGGGTGAGGGAGCGGTGCCGAGGGCAAAAGGCATGTGTGTCTAGGGAGGAGCTGGAGGAAGAGCCTCAGTCTGAAAGCACGTCTGGTCTTTCTAGAGCTTCCTCCGTAAGACTTGTGGTCTGTAACTACAAAATCTCTCCAGCCACCACCTGCAGCTACAGGGTCGTGGGAGGAGGAAGAAAGGAAATGGTTGGGTGCCAGAAGAACCTCGCTCCTCGCTCCCGGCGCCCCCAAGCCACAGGGGCAAAAGTGGACTTTGAACACCGACAAAGAAAATGGGGAAGAAGAAAGACAGAGGACACCGCCTTTCTCACCCGGCTTCACGGCTTTCAGTAGAAAGGAAAAGCAGCCACCGCCGCCCCTTCCCGAGGCCTTTTGCCGGGGGATGTGAAGCGTGGACAGAAACCGCACCCTCAAAACCCAACCGGTCTCCGGCCAGATCTGGAACCCCGGGCTGGTAGCCGAGGAGGAGCGGCCCCTGGCCGGCCCGCAGACTCAGGGCTGGGGCTTGCCCAGTCCCTCCACCCCTCGCTCCAGCCCGGGGGGTACTCGATTCTCCACGCACCCGCCCGCCCCTTCTCTTCCTCGCGTTCCCGCCTCTGCCCGCCGCCCCCGGCCTTTCAGTAGCGGAGTATTTTAATACTTCCACCCACCCCGACAAGGCGGCCTTTTGAAAACTTTAAGTGCATCTAAGGCTTTTGTCCACATCCTGGGATGGGCCCCATCGGCCGGGTGAGTGCCTGAGGGTGTCCGGGATTTCACAAAGCTTGGGGAAGCCACCTCGGAAATCCCACCCCTGCGTTTTGGACCCGCTTCCACATGCGTGTGACCACTGAGCGCTTCGGCTAACAATCCCACCCCTGGGCGCCCCTAGGCACGAGGGCACCGGGAGGAAAGCCCCTCACCCCGCGCCTTTCTCCACTGTCACGAGGGAGTCAGTGTGCGCGGAGAGAGGGGGGCAGCTGAAAATCGCCGTGGCTGTAAGAATCTCTTTAAAAAGAAAAAATGGGAAGGGGTCTTTGGGCTCTCACCACCCCGGCATCCGGGCGCCAAGCGGCGACACACTGTTGCACCACGTAGTTGAGGAACCCTAGTCCGTAGCCTCTCCGCCCCAGACTCGCGCCCAAATCGCACACACCCACAGCCGCCACGGTCGGGAGCCCCCGCCCCAGTCCCCGACAGTCCCCGCCCGCACCTCCAGAAGGCAGCGACCACCCAGCACTGGAGGAGCAGCGGGCGAGGGAAGCGAGGCCCCGGCACTCACAGACTGTCTCCCCACGGCCACGGCCATCGCGCCTGCGGCTGCGGCTGCGGCTGCGGCTCGGAACGCGCCCGGGTGCTCTCCGCCGACACTGCTGCTGCTGGGGCTCTGGCTCCGCGCGCCTCCCCCGCGCCTCCCTAGCGGCTGCGCTCTGCTCGCGCTCGGCTCCCGCTCGCAGCCAGCAGCATCTGCTCCCCCCACGCCGCCGCCCCTCCAGCTTTATTAGAGCAACATGGCCACCCGCCTGGAAGGGACCATTTCGCTTCCCCGGGAAGGGGTGCGAGCCTGCGCCGCGGGGCTGAGGGGGTGGGAGGGAACCGGCCCGGGGGCCTTCCGCCGGGGTCTGCAGGCTTCGGCCGCGGGGCGCGCCCTCGGAGGAAGTAGCGGTGGGCTGCAAAATGACCCCCTCGGGCGCCGCAGAGATTCCCCGGCCCTGTGTTCTAGCCGCTGCCCCCCGCACCTAGAGGTGCTGGAGTCCGAGTAAAAGCTCCGGCGCGGAGGTCCCTGCCCTGGGTCGCGCCACGCGCTCCGCGAAACCTGCGGCTGGAGCGGCTGCTGGAAGGGAAGGAGCACTAGGGCGAGCCGGGCCGCTCTGACAGCATCTCGAGGGAAGGTAACCCCGGGCTAGCAGGCCCCACCCGGAGGAACCGGCTGGAAGGGTGAGGGCTGCCGGGAGAGCGGTGGCGACCGAGGCGGGGCCGGGCCGACGCCCGCGAGGGAAGCGCGCCCGCTACACTTGTCTGCTTGGGGGAGACGGAAAAGCCCGCGGTTGGAAGCTGCCTCGGAGCGTGCGGCCGAGTGGGCGACCACATTGGAGAGGAAGAGGCCGTAGCCGTTGCTGTGGACAACCTACCACCGCCTAATGCTAGAGAGGAAGACAAGCAGCTCGCCCCCGCTGCAGCTGCGGCGGGCCCTGGAGCGCGGGGGCCGCTGCCTCTCCGCCGCCAAAGGAGAACTCGCTGGTCACGCGTGGGGGCTCACACTTTATTTGATCGCTGGAAAGTGGCCAGGCGACCCCAAGGCGCGCGCGTGGGGTTGCAGCTGGGGGCGGGGAGTTGTCTGTAGAGTCGGTGCGACTTCACGTCTGGGACTAGCTGGGAAACTCCACCCCTGTAGGGAAGAATTCCCCCACCCCACCCCCAGCAGAAGTTGGGGCGTCGCTGCTTGTGGGCGTGGTGGGCAGAATGACAGACCTCGGTGAATACTGGGGGGCCTGGCGCGGGGGCAAAGGCTGGGCGGCGAGATGTGGCAGAGGTCAAGCTACTGCAGATTCTCTTGGCCCTTGACAGTACCAGAATTCGTGATTGAAAATAGCGACCAGTCGGGGGACGGGGTTACCAGTCGGGTTGAAGCGCGTGGAAATATAGGCAGGGGGTGAAAGACTGTGATCGGCCCACGGAATTGCGTTTGGGGGAATTTCCTCCGGGAAAACTCGAGTTACTGAAATAGGTGAAAGATAAACCCCCTTTCTATACTGGGGCGCCTCCCGGGTCTGAGCTGACACTTCAAACACGGAAGTTTCCTGGGGTGGTGTCTGCATTCTGCGGTCTCTGTCTCAGGGGGGCCACGGGGTGGGAACGCGCTGCGCCACCTTTGGCGAAGTAAGAGTGGCCTCCCGGCTGGAGCACATCTACCAGGGCAAAAATTGGGTGCATCTGGGTGGCCCGAGGTCACTCAGGCTAAATTAAACCCGCAGAGCACCAGCGGCGTCCAGCTCTGAGTAGGCAAAAAGACCAGAGACTCAGAATCGAACCTCTTCAGTACGTGGGCGGGCCCAGATTTGCAGAGCACTGCACTCATCAGTTTGGGCCAGTTTCTCCCATGTAGGCATCAAATCTTTCCTTTTTCCTCCTGTATTTTTGTTGAGATAACATTGGTTTGCAACACGGTATGTGATTCAGAGATAAAGAATCACATCTCTTCAGATACAAGTTGGCAAAGCTCACTCACCACCCTGTTCTCTGTTATCCCACTTGCCCTCTGTTGGGAAGCCTCAAATCTACAGAAATCAAGTCTTTAAAAGACAAGAGCCACCATTTTATGTGAAGCATAATAGTTCGTGCTCCATACGTGTTGAATTAATATTACCATGTGGATAGAGGCCATGGCAAGAGAGGGGACATACTTTCATCTGCAGCTCTTTGTATGGCCTTTTGTTCCTTCTGCCATAGGGAAGTTTAGGCAGCAAGCAGCTCTGCCCTTGGAGAAGAGGTGTTTCAGGTAAACCTGATGAAAAGATGGCTCCACAGCTTTAATTAAATGCAACAGCAAACAAGTTATCAGTTTTGTTTAATGTTAACCAGACTAAACTGTAGAATTTAATTATTTATCATTTACTTATTTTAAGTGCTTTTTGTGTATACAACCGATTGGATTGTAAGACTGTGAACTCCCTACCTTTGTAGATAGTTTAATTCTAACAACAGTAACTTAAAGTCACTTATTTTGTCATCTGTTTGAGAAAATGCTTTTAGGGCAAAATCACAGTTTACCCTCTTCTGCCTAGATTTTTTTCAGTGACTAGGAGTAATAAATAACCCCTCCCTGATTATTTTTTGATAGGTAGGCACATATGTATTTTAATAAAAAATACAATTTTGGTCAAGGAAATGATTGTAGAATGTTAGTTCTCATTATGAAGTTATATAAATAGTCTACAACCAGGCTAAATAGGTTCAAAATCCTTGCATTAGCACTTTGCAACTGAGTGACAGGGAATAAGTTATTTAACCTTGTAGTGATTCAATTTCCTTGTCTTAAAAACCCATTTAATGGTGTTCTCCTTAATAGAGCTGGTAAAGGTTTATGTAACCTTTTCAGTAAGTGTCTAGCACTGTGGTAGGAACAAAATTTTTTAAATAAGGATGATTCTGTGTGTGTGTGTGTGTGTGAAGTTTCTGTGAGGTGACTGAAGAATAACTCCAAATTGTTTTACTTTCACAATGGTTATTTTTCTCAATCTCCTTTGAAATTTAACAGATTTATTTGTAAATATAACCTACACAGAAACTACTCCACAGTGACAAATATCCTACTTACCTTTAACATGTTTACTCATTTTTATCCAGTATACTAAAGCCCTACCTTTTTGTTGGCAGTTAATAGAATGCCTTAGGATCCTCATAAAACTTCCAGGTCACCAAAAATTCTACTAAGTCACCAAAACAAAATCACCAATATCCATTTTCTGTTTTCCAAAAATGTATTTCTAGACTGAAATTCAAATTCTTATCAATATAATTATACAAGAGCATACAAAGCCCTAGGAAACCGAATATATTTCATTACATAATATTTGTGATCAAGAAAATGTTGCTTACCTTTAAATAAATAATAGGAATAGTCAAAGAAAAATTAATGATTAAGATGCCCATTTTTACTAGAATGGTACACATATAAGAAATGGAACTAATGCATAAATATCAGAATGACTCTGAAAGATTGCACAACTTTGATATACAGCAAGCTCCCCTCTATGTGTCTGGTTATAAAAATACAAATAAATAAATACATAGATAAAGCTTGGCCAAAGGAGGGTTTTACTGAACTGAATCCAAGACAAGAATAGCCAGCAGAAAATGCACAAAATGATGTAAAAATAAACTATTATTTTTAAAAAATAGAATCACTTAATATTTAAAAGAAAGAATAGGGCCCTCCCTGGTGGCACAGCGGGTTAAAGCACAGCACTGAGAAGCTTAAACCAGTTCCGCATGAGTTCGATCCCCGCCTGCCCAGGAGTAGATCCACATGGCGCACCAGACCTCTCCTGACCAGCCCCCTGCTCCCCTCAGCAGTGTACTTTGTCGATCTGCCTGTTCTGAGCTCCGCTCTGTCTCTGGTGCATCCTCTCACCATCCTGCACCGCTGGTCTGTACCCCAGTTCTTTATGAATAAATAAATCTTAAAAAAAAAAAAAAAAAAAGGATAGCCAGCAGACCAAGCTATTGCTGTAACTTCAAATCATTATTGCTAGCAAAAACAATCCGCCAAATAATCATTTTAAAATGTTACCATTGGACAAAAATGTTCTCCAAATTACTGATTCTGTAAAAAGCAAAACAAACTAAAATCCCTCAAAGTAGCATTCTACTACCCAACAGCTGTATTTCTAGTAACTGGTAGCACCTGGCAATTGTTCTTCTCAATGGTAGTGTTGCCTAAGACTACCTGGCACTTATTTGTGATAGTGGCAAGAAAGTTTTAACTACAGAGGGCAGGCTAATTTTCAGAGGCTTTAGCTGACTCATCACTATACAGTCAACATTTAGAGTTTGAACCTTCCTTCAGCTTTCAACTTAAAAGTTGCTTCTGTCTAAAAACAAAGGTGAAAAAAAGTGTTTGGCAGTCTGAGTAAAATGGTTCATGGGGAGCAACATCATAAAATTGCCTTTGTTCCCAAATCCTGATGATTATGGTATGTGTGCAGCCAGTTAACTAAAAGATGTAGGCCTGATGTTACAGTAATAAGAGAACCTCTTGCCAAAAAGTTTCCTTTATCATTTTCAGCAGCTTGCCTAATGATGGCAGGATTATTCCAATCCTGCAATTTTCTTTGGTTAAGTTCCAAAAATGCTTTTTCAAATCCCAATTTAAACTACAGAGGTAAAACATGCAAAACTGTATGTGGCAGGAGGTATGGGTGGGCAACAGGAGCTTGTGAAAGACAGTTATGAGATCTTGATATAAACTCTTAGCATCTGCACAGCAGGCATCCTTAATAACTACAGAGTACTACAGCAGGATGTCTAGGCATCAATTACAGGATGTGCCATCTGACCAAGCCTTTCAGGATCCACTTTTATTTTGCACTCACTTTCTTCATCTTTATCCATATCATACAGTCTTTCTGTGGCATCCATTGGGCAGTGTGAGCTGCTATTTCTTCATCTTCAATATGCTGCCCAGATGCATTCATATTCAGCATGAGCAGATTTTCAATAATTAGCTCCAAAAAGTCATGCCTTAAGGTTAGAAAATACATACTAATTTTTAGCAACTTAAAAATGTAATACACCAGGGTTCTTGCTGATTTTTGATTAACTGGAATTTTTTCTACTAGACATAAAAGTATTGGTATAAGAAACCATGGTGTGAATAGCATATATTTTGCTATTATATGCAAGGCTCCATGATGGGGCAAGTTTTACAGGAAGATGATCATC